ATCAATTCGTTGCAATACATCAACTATTATATAAAAAAGAAATAAAAACAACAACAAAAAACACAGCTTCATATAAAATACACTCCCCAAAATTGGATAAGGTTCACTTATTAAATTGTGTTTATTCTTTACATAAGGTTGGAAAATTTAAACATTTGTTGTGATTATGAAAATGTGTCGTCCGCAGAATGTCGCAGGCATGTCAACTAAGATCAAGGTATGGGGACCTTGCTGACCAGTCCATTCTCTTTTTATAGTTGCAGTCTGTAGGCACGTGTTGGTGACCCGTGCCCTGTGTTGATGGGCATTGTCGTCCTCAAAATATACAATAACCTATAGCACCGGCGTATGACCGGACATACTTGTACAAATCTAAGGTCTAATTGATGTATCTTGCAATCGTCAATGTGATGTTTGAACAATATACAAGGCCGTTTTTCCGTGCATGCTTATACCCGCTCACACCATGACTGAGGCCTTTCCAAAAGGTCATGGTTAGCAACACATACAGGTGGTAAACATTCCATATTCGGACTCGTTGAAGTTCACACAATTTCTGGAATCGTCAGAGTACAGTATTTTTGTCGAATTCGCACAACATTTTTCTAAACTAAGCAGTGTCCGACTTCGCTCATGTGTCTTCATTTAGTATATCATTTATATGTTTTAATGTAAAGGTCACATCAAAATTTTGGACATGAAAGATGTCCAAAGGATCTCGCGATTTCTTTTTATTAAGCCAGGGCAGCTGAAAGAGTTCTGGTGTAGGAATTCCTCAAAATGATGTAACAACAGACCTGTTAGATCTAGAGTCAGTACTTTTGAAGATTAGTATTCAAAATTATTTTAGCTCTTGTACATTATACATGTAAATCTTATAGTCATTTATTGAACATATTACAGTCCCGTTTTGATGGTACATATCCTGTATTAAATATAAGCTATTCAACACCTTAAACATCGGTAAAATTGAACATTTAAAAACAAAAATGGTGAAACTTAAAAATACAAATGTATAAACAATACGAGTGTTCACGCAGCGGTGGTCATAGAAATCGCAATGTGAACCTCTTATGTCGTTAAATAAATGCAGAATATGGTTCCCAAGTCTTAAACGATAATAACAGTAGGTGTAGGTAGATAATAAATTAAGTTATAAATCCATATATCTCATACTTGTAAAACCTCAAATGCAGGTATTACAATATTATAATCAAGATTAAATTATCTGCGTCTTGCAACGAGTGTTCCTATAAACATCAAGCTCTTTCCCAAATGAAGGTTTTTACTTGTTTTATAATAGATATCCTATATTTCCTATTATTAAATCGGTTGTTTAATAATTATATTTGAGAACAAATATTTAAATAAAGTAGATAACAGTCAATTGATTAGTAAAAGAATCTAAACAACCAATGGTTTATTGCCATTTGGACTAGAGTTTATTATCAATAATCAGTGACCAAACAGAGAAATTCTGATTTACTTGAACAGATTGTATCAATATCCAAAGTAAATAAATCAATACGTGAATGGTAGAGTAACACTAAGTCAGAATTCCACTAATTACATAAATATTTAAAAGTTTAGCTTTTGTCCTGGCAACAGAACATTTAGAGCTCTAAATCAATGACAAAATACCAAGTCTTGATATAATAAATTAACCTAATTATTATCAAATATGATGCAAGGATGTAGGAGAAAAACAATATTGTATACATATCTTAAGCACTATGGCTTCAACAGGTCTTTGTTCAATATTTTAGATAGAAAATGAATGAATGATATAAGGGATATTTTTTTCTAACATTGATCGTGACTATATGACATTATTTCAATATACGAGGGATGATCCAAATGTTATGTCACTATGACTATAAAATGGTTATCATCGCATAAAAACAATATAACTTAATACCTGGATCTATTTGAAACAGTTCATGAAAAAATATTTTAAAAAAATAATAGTGTATAGTTTTAAATTTCCATGCGTCAACGGCTTCTGTTACGTCACGTACAACGATATTTTTTACTCCTTTTCAAATTAGCGCCCCTGGATGATGTCTGTTTACCCGTTTAGGTAAACGATTTCATACAGTCCGAAGAGGCACAAAATACAGGTACAGACTCATCAAAGTTGATTGATTAATTGATTGGGTTTTACGTCACATCGACACAGTATAGGACATATCGCGACGTTCCAGCTTTACTGGTGGAGGAAGACCTCAGGTGCCCCTCCGTGCATTATTTCAGGCACGAACGGGCACCTGAGTAGAATCACCGACGTTCCGTAAGCTAGCTGGATAGCTTCCTCACATGAAAGAATCCAAGTCCCTGTAGGGATTCAAACCCACAGCGGTGAGGGGCAAGTGGTTTGAAGTCAACGACCTTAACCACTCGGCCACGGACGCCCCATACAAAGTTGATAAAGATCCTGGAAATGTGTTGAAATTGAATGAAACAGTCAAATTTGTAGTAAAACAATTATTCAAATGCAATTCCTTCCACATTATCTTTATAAAACTTGCAACCTTTTTGAATTCCTGTAAATCACATTTTTCAATTATTCTTAATATGGGCCTTGGTGAAGAAAACAGAATAAAACTTAAATAGTAAAACATATTGTGCTGCGTTAAGCAATCAAGCTAATAAACAATGCCACTTTAACCTTCAAGTCATCTAAGCATGTTAGCTGATAAAGATCCCTGGCAACCCCCCAGACAGGAGATTAACAACTGGGCGACACCAATTTATTTGTTTGATGAAGGAGTACATTGCCGCCAATACAGTATAAAACTGTCATGAAAATATTCCAGCCCAGCTGGTTAACGTATCTTAGGGCTGAGCTAGGTGTTGGTTGAGGGGGGGGGGGGGTCTTCAGCCCTAAAGCCAGGAACTAAATTCGCCACTGATTTGTCAGTGTGTACTACTCTAGTTAAGATGTACTCGGCAGTACATGTTTATAAATGATAAAAGTATTTTACGAGGAGAGATGAAATTTAATGTTACCGTCACGCCTATACCATTGTGATATATAATCTTATTACCTGATCATGAACATATACTGAACTGATGAACTTACTTTTTCAAATTGAATTATTACCCCTCACTGTTTTTAATGTTTATTTCCCATATGCCACTGGGGGTTATTCGTTATGTTAAAGCAAGTGTACCATGTGACTAAGCAATTTGTACTCTAACAGTACTTTTTAACAGTATAAAAATCCGGTCACGTGGTTTGTTTCAACGGCAAGGTAAAAATAGTTGAGTTATTGTTACTCTTGGTCAGTTATATTTAGTTGAAATTTTCAAATGATTTGTTCCGGGTAATAGATTAAATAATACATGGCTTTGTATCAGTAAAAATTACTAACGCTTGGATGACAGTATTTTCCTCGGGATGATATTTTTACTGTTACGCACAAATCAATATCACAACCCATATACTAACATTAACTCAATTGTAAAAGTGCATTAAAATATTCAGTATATACCACTATGTCGAACATTGACAATATATCATGTGCTTATTAATAAGTTAACATTGTGTATGCATGTTGTTATAATTCTATATAATGTAACTCTATATTTAATGTATGACAGTGTGTATGACATCTTTTTCGTGCATATAATCAGTAATCGTATGTTATTATGTAAATAACACATGGGTTTGTGGGTAACAGTAAAAATATCATCCCGAGGAAAATACTGTTACCCGAGGCGTAGCCGAGGGTAACAGTATTTATACGAGGGATGATATTTTTACTGTTACCCACAAACCCATGTGTTATTTATTTTATTACCCCGAACAAATACTGTGATGATCTGCATTTGTCAACTAAATCTAACTGTAACAAATATAAGCCAAGAGAAGCAATAACTTAACTGTCCTTACCTTGCAAGTTTAAGTGCACTGTAGGCCTACTTGAGAAGCTGTTTTTCTTTTATTCTTTAGGCAAGTGATGATATCTACCAGTCATAAACATAAAATAAGCTGTGTTTTATTCAGAAAACAAAACACTAACCCATTTATAAGGTTATGATCTGTGAAATCTGATCTTTCTGCATCCAGAATATTCTTCGCATGGTTTTTGACAAAGTGCATTAAGAAAATAACGATGATATCCTACAGATGTCTGTCCACCAACTCTATCTGTAACGTTTCACTGGTTAAAATTGTTAAATTATCCTTTGTTGCATGCTTAAATTGTCTGCATGTTCCAGTTTGACATAAATTATTTATATTACAATTACTTCCGTTTAAGGCGGATGTTTCCTGTTGACTATTCAACAAAAAGATATTTAATACGCGAAAGGGACTCTAGGGTGCAAAGAACTAAATTTTATCAGAGTAATAGTTACTTCGGCGATGCCCTATCGTCGAAAATAAGAATGAATCGAGAAAAAAATGGCGGCCATTTTATTTCATTTTATTTAGAAAATAGACCACGTGACCAGATTTTATACTGTAAAAAAATACTGTTACCTATGTAACAGTACAAAATTCTTAGTCACGTGGTACACTTGCATTAACAGTAAAAATAACTCCCAGAGGCCTATGGGAAATTAGCATTACGAAAAAAGTGAGGGGTAATAATATGTTATATTCTCATGTAAATGTGTTAATTAATTGTTATATCAGTCACTGAAAAGTGAAATAAAAGATTGTACACCTTTCACTGTTCTTGTCAGAAACAAACTTAATAATGTACAAATATGGACGATGATGTTTTATATATATAAGGATTATTTAAACACAGAAAGGGCTTGCAGTGTATATGTTTAAAAGCTGGTATTAAAGCATTTGATCAATTCATTAAAACAAAATTAATTCTTTAAACACTTTTAAATGGCTAGATATTTAATCCTTTAAACAAACCATCTTTAAATGCATACATCGTTTAAAATTGTAACAGAATATATCCGATAAAGAATAAAAAGAAAATAAAAATTGAAAATTAAAGAATAGATAGAATTTCAGAAAACAGCACATTTTCCTACTCTTACACTAGTATATCACATTTATTTAATTAAAACTGTAAGCATTTTTAAATGCTATATAGACAATTGCTATACTGAAGAAGCTAAAAAATATCTGCCAATCTAGCAAGAATGTCTAGTATTGTCTCATCAATTTCCACGTATGGTGCAACATCACGTGACTTAGCGCTTTCTGCTAGAGCTTTTCTTGTTTCTTGTTCCAAAACAATGGCAGCTTTAACAACAGAGAAAACATTATAATGAGTAACACCTTCTACGGCGAATGCAACATGCATTTGATCTGCAAGTTTTCTCCGGTAGAAGTCGCCTCGATCTCCTGACATTCCTTCGTCATCATGATTTCCCGCCAGAAAAATAAGCGCTTGTTCAATGTTGTCCAGACGACGTATTTTACACATTTCTGTATTGTTCATCATAAGCATGACACGTTCGATAGCGACAGATGCTATTCTATGAAGAGTTGTTATCACTGCCATCCGGTCAGGGTTGAAGTCAAAAGAACGAGAGTCGGACAGTGGTTTACGAACCAGTTGATAGGATGTGTGGTAAGACATCTGTAATAGAATTAAGGTCGTCGTTATGAACATTTTGTCATTGTCAAGTTAAGCTTATTTGACTATACAGTATATTCCAGAATATTGACTATTATAATGGTGACAGATTGAGCATTAACGTTAAGGCTAATATATAAAGCTGTCTGAAATATAAAACGACTGCCCCGCATTTTTTTTGATCAATTGAACCGTACAGGTGAATACCGATGTATATTTACAGAAATTTTCTTGGGCCATATGAGTAATTAATCTTTTTGCGAAGTAAATAACAAAATTGAAAGGAATCACGGAAAATGTAAACTTATTTTGACTTTCACCTGTAAACTCACTATATACATTTGGATGGTCATAATATCACTTTAAGGTCGTTATTGAATTTATTGTCAAGAGCAATATAAGGCTAACAGTAATATTTACCCATAACGAAACTATTCATAGCGAACTTCCGTTTTTTGTAGACGCTTGGGTAGCACGATAATTGCAACAATCACTTTAAGTGTGTGATATCAGTCGCATTAAGCTCGAATTCTTAATTTGTAAATGCGTAAATGAAAAAAGACACTCTCGGAAGCTTGATAAAATTAATAAATAAAGCAGATCGTCGAATAACAAAGATGTGATTATATTTAACGTTAGAGTTATCATAGATTTTTTACCATAAAAGATCAATGAATAAAGGTAAAGGTACTTTCACACAAATCAATACATATTGATAATTATAGTCGATAAGGAAACACTGCTCTTTAATAAAATAATCGATCGGAGGGGGGACGTCACAATGAAGACCAACGTGTCACCGAAATTAAAATTACGAAAATTTATTACTTTTGTCATAACCCGACATCATATATTAGTAGTAAACACAAACATTAACTTTTACGCAAATATAAAAATAATATTAATACAATGTGAATCTGTAACTTATTAATTAACTTCTAGCGCATTTTACGGAAGGGAGTACTGATCCCCACCTCTTACATATTTTATATGCCTTCAATATAAAAAGCTTTTGTATAATACATATCTTTAAAAACTTGACACGTAATATGATATAAAAAATAAATCTTAAAGAGTTTATCAGTTATTATAAACCCTAAAATCACGAATATGCATATTTCTGCGGTGGTATTTCAATTCAAATCAGGCCACGGCAATTAAATGTTTAATAGTTTTGTGTGCACTAATGCAGCAATAGTATAAGGGTTACACAAAGATAAAAAAACTTAACAAACCGTTAATTTAAAATCCTGTCACTTTATAACTTAACAGTAAAGCATTTCAATGTTACAAAATTAAATTCAAGTGATTTAAGTCATTTAAATTCTAAAGTTCGGTTGATTTCATATCTATTCAATTTGATAACAAAGTATAACGTCTTTCAATAAATATTTAATGGTTTTGTATACATAACGTATCTGATAGATCACAATAGGCTACCGTTGTAGAAATATCGGCGGCGTAATCGATGAACATTAAAATTTTGAGTTTATGTGTTCGTCTACATGCGCAGATCACATTTTTTATGCTATACTTGAGTATATCCGAGGACAATCTCAGCTCACACTGATACAGGACGGGCTATTGACATAACTAGTACAATTTTGGCAATAAAATAAACAAACAATATTACCTTGTTGCATAACAATTTGAACTTTTAAAAATATGCATTAATGTTTTTCTATAATATTCGTAACACAATTCTCACCTTAAAATTGTTTTCGTTGATTAAAATTCCCAAAACAGGAGCTTACGCTGTCACAAGATCAGTTAGATCTTTTTCTACATAGAAACACTTCGGCCATTTGTAAACAATGATAACAAAAAAGGGAGATAATGTTCGAGTTGATGTCAGATAGACCGAGTTAAAGTCTTCTCGCTTCGTTACTATAATATTGTGTTTGCTGAATATAACTGAATGATAAAACCGCTAATGCTTTGTTACATTCGTACCACTGTATAAAGATATATTAAGTGTTAAAATGACTTTCATACATAATGATATTTGTTATAAAAGTTCAAATTTTGGAATTACTTCTTTTGTTTCTTGTATATTCTCATCGGTATCTAATTCCCCCCTTCATATTATCTTTTTTTCTACGGATTTTCCCGCCAAATCTAACCTTGACTAGCAGACATGCAAAACTCATTTAAAAAATAAAAAAAAATACAATATTTAAACAAATCTTTGTTACATGCTTTTCGGTTGTTTTTTAGAAATATATCAGTGATATAAAACTGGTTATTTCACTGTTTGAAACAGTGAAATTACCACTTTGATAATTTCACAGTTTTGAATTTAAGCCCCTTACGTTGTTTCAGTGAAATACCAGCGTGCACAGTACTGGGTACCAACTTAATGACGTGACGTCGTAAATGACGTCACGTTGTATTATTATTTGGCGCGCTTTTCATTCAGTATTAGGTTAAATGTCTTTTCAAAACGTTTCTTTGCATGTTATAAAAAGAAAATTTGTTTAGTTTAGTGTAAGATTGAAATATATTTCACCTTGTGAACACCAAAAGTTCATATTTCACTCGTGGCTGCGCCACGTGAAATATTCCTTTTGGTGCTCACTCGGTGAAATATATTCCGATCTTACACTGAACTAAACAAGTATCCTCTATAAAGTCCACCCCCTACTTGAGTGGAGGCAAAAACAACTTTGGAATAATTTACGTGCCGGTGGAATGATATGCTTATCATGTTTAACCATATTAAACACATACCTTTAGACTAATTTTGACTTGCAATTCAATCAATAAAATATATTAAAACAACATTTCTAAAAAAAACATAAAGTTTGTTTTGATGACAAATGATATAGCGTAGCATCTGTATATATCTGTATATGTGAATTTTAGGCTCTAAAGAATCTAATTAATCGAAGGGAGTGTTGTTTTAGTGATGGTCCAGTTTGAATGACTTGATGCAATTTTGAAAAATTGCGTTGGACTGTTTATGTAAACATAATATCTTAAAGAAAGACTTAATTGTCTGTGATTGATTTTTAAAAATATAGATGTTGCTATCAATAACTGGACGAATACATATACACATATATTTCATACCTGACAGGTAGATTTTTATGTCAGTATTTTTTTTTATATATTAAAGATATCTGCAATAAATATAAACTGAATGTTCTCGTGCGAGGGCGGCTTGTTTGCTTATTTCTTAATGTGACACTACATTATGAAAACCGACACACTGATTGGATACATTTTTTCACTTTATCTTTTTTCCGATTTTAGTTAAATAGATTTCAGGTATATGTATTAAATCCTCATCTCACAGGTCGTTATCAGCTCAAGTCACTGACTAATATTACACTTGACTAATAACAAGAACTAGATAAATGTATGCTTGTGTAAAACAATGATAAGAAAACACTTAGTATAGGAAGTTATATAATGATATTAACAGTCTCACAATAACACCTTTAAACATTGATTTTTCAAAGCTACACCATATTTAAAAAAGTTACTAAAACTGTACAGTCACTTCAATAAATATGATTCGTTTAAAAGATGATCATGTGGCACCAAATATCTTTATTGTATTTTTAATAAAATTTAAAGAATATGTTTTATTGTTTGAATTGTCTGTAAAAAATATGTTAAAATTACATGTCGAACGTGATAAGCATATCATTTCACTGGCATGTTAATTATTTTAATGCGGCGGAGACACTTTGATAGACACCTTGTCTATCGTCCATAAGTCATTCTGTCATGATGTCCTGATGTCGTCCCTAGACTGACATAACAGTAAAATGTTGGGCATCTATTTTTAGATACATAATGGAAAGAAATTATAAAAACATTTTATGAAACCTCCTGTCTGTAAGTAAATCAAGTGTCGTATGCATAGATCGGACACATAAAAATGGGGTTTCGATTGCGACAAAAGGAACATGTCAATTGTCAACGGATAACATACACGCAATCTGAACATGACAATCCTGTCTAATCTAAAAAAATACGCAACATAACATGATCTAAAATAGCATGTATTCATTTTTTCAAGTGATACATTCGTTTTTATTGTTAACCGTTACTATGAAACATGTTTAGATTTAAATAAGAACATAGGCCTACTTTCTCATGATATTTTGAAGATTGAAAACTAATAGCAAGATATTTTATTGCAAGACACAACATAAACCACTATAAATGGTTATATCACATATTCAAATAATGCGGACAAATACGTTTCCAGTTACATCAGAAAAGGAAAAAGACATATATTTTATTTATTCATTATTTGATTTTATACTATGACTTAAACCAGTAAATAGAAAGCATCTATAATAAAATAATGAAGGACCAATGATGATTATGCTTACAAAAAGTACATGATCAATAATAACCTTATTTTTTTCATAACTGTTATAGTTTTCTATCAGTCTGACTTGTACAAATATTACAACTTGAGATATTGAACACACTCCGTATGAAATTATGACGCTCATTCTGTTCAACAGTATCAACAGTAGAGGAAATGTTATAAATTTAAAACCAAGAGCTGTCTCGGTTACTATAATAAATATTTATTCTTCTTTCAAAATAAAGTCAATAATATAAAATGTCGGAATATCTACAGCAAACAGTGGATCATTTTCACGACCAGCGCTTTTCCGCGTTCATTAGTTTTTGTTTATTTGATTTCGAGTCCTAAGTCCTTTATCGGTCATCTATTGCTTTTTACCGTGCACTTGTACGTTATAGATTGCCTGATGTTTGAGAGGTCTGTGGTTCGATCCCGATTTACATACTTTTATAGCAAAAAAAAAAGAAAAAGAAAAGACAGTGTGTTGAATTCCTACTAAGCATACAAATGATTTTATTACAGTGTGTTGAATTCCTACTAAGCATAAAAATGATTTTATTACAGTGTGTTGAATTTCTACTAAGCATACAAATAATTTTATTACAGTGTGTTGAATTCCCACTAAGCATACAAATGATTGTATTACAGTGTGTTGAATTCCTACTAAGCA